GTGACAGAAATAATTTTTAGTTATCACAAATGGCTACCTAACATTTTTTATTCGACGTTGAGATATGGAACTACTTATCCATCATGGGCGAATGTCATTCGGTGCCCCCACTAAATTACATGGATGTAAAGTCAGTGACTTTTTTCTAAAGTTCATTTCTATAGTGCTCACTTTACCGTGAACAGCCTTTACAGACTTTCCACCAAAAGAACAATAGGGTCGCCACTGAAAGTCCCACAGATACACGCAGTGCGACGAGAACACTGCACACCAGGTGAAAGCCTTGCGCTTAGCGGCGATGGCGCACTTGATGCGCGCGGCAATGTTGCCCTTATCGCTTCCACTCGCCCCAGATGCAGAAAATGGCGCTATGCAGGCGATAGCCTTAAGGATGAGACAGTAGTCGTTCATAAACACTTCGTTCCGTCCGTCGAACGTTGTCTATAAACTCATCGCGATAAACCGACCACTTTTGAAAGCCTTGCTTAAGATAGCGTACATTTGTATGAAAATTTCTTCCGCCATATGTAAAATTAACTTCCCCGTGGGACTGATAACTTCTTTCATGCAACGGTAAAGTGAAACTGTGAAACTATTAGACAATTTAAATATATTATAAGCTGTTCACGCTAAAGTGGACATTTTTGAAAGCCGTGCTTAAAATCTGTTTATTATTATTATTATTTAATTTCCCACCAGTAGTAACATTTACATTGGCTCAGACTTAGTCGCTTAATTCATGTTCAGACAAAAGTTAAAGGCGAAATTGTTAGCACCCTAAATGTGACACTAATAATCCTATATGTGTTATGTAATGTGTATAAAAGTACACTTAGTTGGTTTGCCATAAGTTTAAAAATTACACTATCAATATAACGTCAAGACATGTAAGTTTTTTACTTAATTTACTGTCAACTTAACCGAAAGCTTCCATTTAAGTGTGTACGGACAACATATGTGCAGTGAGCGGGCGGTGATTTCATTTCTCAATGTTTCAGTCCAAAAGCGCTTACTGTTAGGGGAATCGGTCTCCGCCATCTTGGATTTATGGAGTTTTCACCGTAATTTGCATCACATTTTTTTGTATTTTAATTTAGGCTTCGGCATGCCATAGTGCATAGCTTTGTACGTGTTCTAAATCAAGCATCGCTGGACTACTGTTGCCAGGATCATTTATGCAACTGCCCACAAGAATACATTAACTGTAAAAAATTTTTTTTAAACCAAGCTTTTATGTATAAATTAACTAAAAAATAAAAATAATTATAGGCGTAGTTAAAGAATTCGCAGAACTTAAAAGACATGGTCGAACAGCCGTAATAAACTTTACTACAAATGGATATTTTTGTATAGACTGTACACGGTAAAACGAGCACTTCAGATAGCCCTGCTTAAGATCTACTTGTATGCACGTTGTGGGCTCTTCCGCCTTACGTAAAATTTAGCATTGACATGGGCTTCATCACTTTATTAATGTGTCGGTCCAGTGAAACTGTGACATTATTAGAAAAAACAAATATCTTACAAATCTTTTCATTTTTACACTTCGATGCATTAAAAGAATAATTATGTTAAGATATGGAACTACTTTCCGTCTATCGTTACTAATTTTACTGGGTGGAGGTCGCCCAGTGCTTCCGTTAAAATGTAATATGCAGGTAGGGGCAGTGAAATTTTTTAAATATTGATTTCTAAAGTGCTCACTCCATCGTGAACAGCTTTTATCATTTTATATTTGGAATGAAAAAAGCTTGGCGTGAATATTAAAGAGCCTTACAAAGATATATGCTCACTGTGGATTTCGCAAATGAGGTATAGGTTCGATATTGCGCCAAGCTTTTATATGATAATATAAATTTATGTCGGTTCGACCACGTCTTACAAGTTCTACAATTTCTGTAACTACTCATATGCTTATTTTTTAAATAATTTTATCGCTTTATTCATGTTATATAAATATAAATTTGGGCTTTTTTACAATTAATATATTTTTCACCTTTTAGTCTCGTCTATTATTTTACTATTGTTATATAGGTATACATTCACAGACTCGTCCGTGCGATCACGTTGACGGACGAGTCTGTGAATGTATTAATCGTCTACCTATATCATAATAATAATAATAAAAAATAGGTGAGACAAAAAAACTAAAAAAGTGAAGTTTTACACTGGTGGCCCCTCCACACTTCGGGCTGTAACCAGACGAACAGCGATGCGCTGCAAGTAGACGCGACGACTGCTAATTATTGGGTAGGCGTCGGAGAGACGCCTATAGTACATTGAAACAAGGTATGTAAATCTAAACTTGTAAAAAAATTACTAATATCTTGGCGGCAGCCACTATAAAATGGAACTTTATTGCATAAATTGAGAAAATCCAAGATGGAGGAGGCAGGTCCCATTGTCGAATTTTCGCCCTGGAATATATTTGACAATACAATTTAGAATACGAAATACGACCACCCGAATTTATCTTCCATCAAATTTTATAAAATAATCTTGGATGTGGTTGAAAATGTGTCATAGCCTACTGGCTATTTTTTTACTAGGAGAGTCACGTCTCAATTTTTAATTTAAGATTTTTTTTTAAAGTGAGATACTGCTATTGAAGGGAAGTGAAGTGAAGAGATTTGGGTGGCTCTCAACATCGAGGTCTTCAGAGCTGATGAGGGTGATTGAAGTGAATATGGAGCAGCGCCGGAGTGAGGGGGAGGGGGAAACGGGAGATCCCCGAGAAAACCCATCGACCATCGGCATCATCCGGCACGATTCCCGCTTGTGAAAATCCGGTGGCCCGGCCTAGTATTGAACCCGGTTCGCCTTGGTGGAAGGCGAGCGTGCTAACCGCTCAGCTACCGTGGCCCCACTTCTGTTGAATTTCCGTGTTGTCTGTTATAGGAAGAAATGTTCCTATTGATGTTTTTAATTTTCCCGTCTTTACTAAATTCAAATATTATTTATCAAACGTGTTTCCTGTGTAATAAATTCAGTGCCTCTGTGTTTTTAATATCATGTGCAATATTCACTTAAAAAAGCATTCATGCTCTGGCAGCTACTATATAGATTAATTATCTTCGTAATCGTAATTGGTTTCTAGCAATTGTTCTTTATTTTGACGTTTCGTGACGTCGGAAACTACAATTTTTGTCACTCACAATTTTTATTAGCTCAGTGCCTCGAACATCAACGAAATTTTAGAACCGGTCAATTCTTCAAATATTTGGTAGAAGCTGGAGCCATCAAACTTTTTCAGACAAATATGGCGTCGTTTATGACGTTTCGGTGACGTCACAACTATCCAACTTTATTTGACCAAACTTCTTGGAAGAAATTTGACGGAAAAATTTGATATTGTGACAGGGGCCTTACCGTGAACAACCAATGCGAATTTGCCAATTTTTATACTTGCATGCACTAAAACTACCGAAAGCGAAGTACATAATTCATTAGTCACAATAGTTTACCTAACACTTCTAATTCAACCTTAAGGGCCCTTTCACACGAATCTGTGTGAATTGAATTCAATTACTTAAATTCTATTTATTGAACTAAAAAATAACTTCATTTGCCTTTCTGTTAGTTACATTCTGTAAGCTTCCAAGTGTCCACACGAAAATGTATCACAAACTTTTTAATGAAACCAGTAAAAAAATTATCATAGCAGATTTTTGGAACTATCTTCTTCTAATTCACGACACGAAAATAATTGGTTAAACCGCAACAATTTTTTTTTAAATTTTATTGTACATTTTCTAGTTAAAATATATGCGTCCTTATTATGAAACATTTTTTTAATCTGTGCACATAACTCTAGTATTATAAAATCGCTTTCGTTAATATTGTCAGCAAAGCTGCGATCGGCGATTGAATTTCGGATTCAAGAAAATATAGAACATGTTCAAAACGAAAACCTCGAAGGAAAACGAGACGTTCCAGGAATCGAAAGAGAAAATGTTCACTAGTACAACGTTCGCACGACGTCATAAAGCATTCAATGAATTGAATTCAATAAAAATCGAAGGTAATTGGGTGAAAAATTTAATCGTGTTGAAGAGCATTAAGGAATGGAACTACTTATCGTTTGTAGTTACCAGCTCTACTGAGAGGATGCCAATGTGCCCGCTGAGATATTAGCGTAGCGGCAGTGATATTTCTCAAAGGTTTAATTTCAGGCCGTGTTCGAAGTGACAAATTCGTTATTTTGTAATTTGTCATTTCGCATGTTTCAATCCAGACTTAGTAGACACTCACTTGTTTAGCACTTCGCGGCAACGCATTTTTACATTAACAACACCGATTTTTTTTTTTTTTTATCTAAATTTAATTCTTAAAACGGACGTAATATTTCTACAATCATCCCTAGAATGCTGCGAGTATGTTAATAAATAATGAAATAATAAATTATGCGATAAAGACTTACAAAAAAAGTTTGCTGCGAAATATACAAAGCACAAAACTTAATTGCTTTTTAAAACGTGCGTAGTATATCTTATTGAGAGTTTCTTGTTTTAGAAAATATTTTATTTACGCATTCGCGCATGTGTTTTGAAAGTAAAAACCAACATGGCGCTGATTTTTGACGTTTTGGATTTTTTGCTAACATCCGCTAAGATACAAAATACGAAATGCTAAATTACCAAATACATCATTATGTTTGTATACAAAATCGGGCCACGTAATCTATTTGTTGACAAAGTGTGCCATTTAGGGCACGACCTCAAAGGTGCTCAATCAACTGTGCTATACCGATAGTACTCGTATGTTCAGTATCTGTGTACGTGTGATTGATATGATTTATTTACGACTGCTGGCAAGAAACTGGCCTATCCCCACAGTTCGGCGTCTGGGAACGAGAGATGCTGACTGTCGAGTTTGCAGATCTGGTTAAGATATCAGTCGAAACTAAGTGAACCGGTTATGGCTGTTGGATCGCCGTCGCTGAAGAGAAAGTAAACAAGTATTTCAATGTCCAACGTGTGTGTAGACTACACGTCGATGTAGGGGGCGTAGCTCAGATGATAGAGCGCTCGCTTAGCATGCGAAATGCACAGGGATCGACACACGGTGCCTCCATTGAGCCTGTATTGCATGAAAAATTCGTATTATTGTTCATTCGCGGTTTACTTACAACTTTTCTGAAGTCCTGCTGAAGTTATGTTTTCAGGATTTTCCTCCGCCTCATGCGAATATATCTTAACCAAGTATACAAAATTGCACTAAAGGGACATCGTACATCAATCAGTTCAGTAACATCTTGCATAAAAACTATTTATTCAAGACTGTTCACGATAAAGTGAGCACTTTGGAAATCAGCTTTAGAAAAATGTCACTGCCCCTGCATGCATATTATTTTAATTGGCGCACTGAGTGACATACGCCCATTAAGATGGTAACGATGGATGGAAAGTAGTTCCATATCTTAACGTCAAATTAAAAGTGTCAGGTAACCATTTGTAATAATTTAAATGAATTTTTTCACTTCACGATTTTTTTAATGCATCGAAGTGTAAAAAAAGGCAGATTTGCAAAACAATTTGTTTTGTAATAATTTCACCGATGCATGAATAAAGTTACGAGGCCCATGGCAATGTTAATTTTGCGTAAGGCGGAAGAATATACAATGTGCATACAAGTAGAAATCTTAAGCAGGGCTTTCAAAAGTGCTCATCTTACCGTGAACAGCCTATAGTAAACCCTGCCTACCAAATACATCTGAAGTAGATGCTTAGTACCCTAACTCCGTAATGCAGATGTTTGCAAGCTTGCCAATGGTACATTCTCTGCGTTCGAGTCCCGGGTAAGGAACGTGTGTAATTTTAATTGTCTCAGCACTGCGACGAGACTTCAAGGAATACATACAATCTAATCTTTTAAGAAAAATCATTAAAAATTATTTACACCAGTGCAGACGAACGTAGTAACCTCTTGTTTACAAAATGAAATAGACATCACTCATTGAAGGCATATCGCCCCAAAATTTTTCGCCTGGAACATCTACAGGTCTGTTCACTGACTGTATCATCGTGACTTTATTGTGCTGAAGTTTTTCACCTTTGGTTTGAAAGTTCTTTGTAATGAATGTATCAATCTACAATAATAGTTCTGGTCGCATGTATTTTATGCGCGACAGTTGCGGAGACCCGCTCGTCCACAGTTACAATTTATGTAGCTACTTGCAAATGTGGAAAAACTTGTTCGTGCGGGTTTCAATGACAGGAAATTCACAGTGAGTTTACGTTCGACTACAGTGCCCGAAAAAAAAGTAAGGTCTATTTGTGTTTATTCAATCCGATTCACGCCTCTCATCAAGCTTAAAAATATCCAAACGCTTTCCTTCTAGGGGAACTAGTTTAAAACGGTTACATGGTTTCATAAAAATAGCATATTAAGCTTAAACGTTTATCTGGCCACCATTTTAAAAATAAGTGTCTCGCCAGATAAAAAAAAACATATAAATTTACATGGCCTGCTATAGTGCTACGTGTGTGCCAAATCTCAGGTGGACACACCTTTATTTGCTATACGTGAAGGAAAAAAACTGTCTAAAAAATATCCACAGATAATTATTATTCGTATTGCAATAAAATACCAAAGTAAGAAGAAAAATATGTCATTACTGGTGTGGAACAGGTACCTACGTTTTATTCCTCAGTTGTTGAAAAGTTTTTGCACCATTATGAAACTTTGATAGTAGTAGTTACACTATCGTTTATTTTCCAACACATATCTCAAAACTTACTAAAAGTGGTCGAACGTAACTTAGAAATCCACGAGTACGTATTTGGCTTCGTAAACAACGGTAGTCTCCCTCTCTTTTTTTTTATTGCTGAAAAGCGCTTATATTTCCTTTCCTTTTTTTTTTTCTTCACATATTTATATCGTTATCACTTACAAACAACAAGATGTTACTGATACAACAAATCAGCCTACTTTCCTCTACGTGTGTGCAGTTAATGTTTAATGAAGTTCTTCAAAGCGTAGATGGTAGGTAGGCCTCGAAGTCTCAGTGACATCAATATCACTAGAGATTAAACCAGAAACATATGCAACAGTAGAATAGGTCGTTCACGGTAGAATGAGTACTTTTGAAAGCTCTGCTTGAGATCTAATTGTGTACACGTTGTGTATTCCTCCGCCTTTCGTAAAATTAACATTGCCATGGGGGAGGGGGGGGGGGCTCATCTCTTTATTCATGTGTCGGTCAAATTAGACTGTAATATTATTAAGAAAGAAAATACTTTACAAATCTGCTCATTTTTACACTTGGATAAATTAAAAATAGAGTAAGCGAAAGAAATAATTTTAAGTTCTCATAAATGTTTACCTAATACTTTTTATTCGACGTTAAGATATGGAACTACTTCCCATCGTTACCAGCTTTATTGGGCCAATGTCGCTCAGTGTGCCCATTAAAATATATGCATGCAGGGGGCAGTGACTTTATTCTAAGGTTCACTTTGTACCATGCTCACTTTACCATGAACAGCCTATAATACAATGACTAATACACACGTGGTTTACTCTTGACTGCGACCAAGAAAACCTCGTAATATAAGCCAGTGTGCAATCAACTGTATTACAGAGGTCAGATTCGGAGCATCGAATTTAGATGTAATCAGTAGAATGTTTCGAATCATAGGGTTTACTTAACTAAAATATTTACATGCCATTTTTAATAAGTGTCTCAGCCGCTTAATAAACGTAAGTTTAGATGGACTACCGTAGAGCTTCTTGTGTGAAGAAGTTGGTGGAAATCGGTTGATTGATCCCCGAGATATGGCATAGAAATTTGTTTTCTTATTTAGTACTCTCTATTAAATCGCCTAAAAAAAAGGTTCCGTATACGATGCTTCTAATAATTACTATCAGCACAAAAAGTTTGAATTAGCTTAAATTGTTTAATATATACGACACATTTACATAAATTATTCATATGGCCTCTATTTTAAAAGTCAGTTACTGACACAATTAAATCATTAAAATTTTGCACGGCCTTCGGTGGCCCCACTGCTGTGCGACAATTGATGAGAATTAGTTGGATAGATGCGGAAATGTGGAAAAATGTCCAATTTCCTCACCGCCGGCATTATTTAACAAAAATGCCGGCGAGAAAGGATATCTGAATGCATAACTCATGACATACCAATCAAAATGATGGAAATTAACGCTTTTTAAAACACAAATGCATTCCCTACCTAAAACACGTAGTTTACGTGCCCCGCTTTAGCACTATTTGCGTGTAAAATTGAGTGGGAATCGTTTGGACTGTTCCTCGAGACGTGGCGTAAAACCTTATTTTTCTCACGTGACGATCTTCAGAAATTTCGAGAAAAAATGTTATGTATTATCACATACGATGATTGTCATAAACACTACCAGAATATAAAGTTTGGTTGAAATTGTTTGGGGCATATGGCCTACTACGGAAAAAAAAATGGCTGTTATTTAGAATATAAACTAAGATCGACTACAAAACTAGCTATAACTTGTCGCATGAATTTGGTAGAAATTGTTAATTTTTTTCCTTGGGATAGGGCACAAAAGTTTAATATTTCGTGTTGTGCTATCTTCCAAAATGAGGGAGAAAAGAGAGCGTATATATTAGCTGACTTGACGCTTGCATAGATATTGCCAGTACACAAAGTTAAGTGGAAATTTGTTACATGGTTTCATAAATTCATACAGCGTGTTTAGGAAACGTGTGTGCAAACTCGCGCACGTGATTCGTGATCGGAAAAGAGGAAGATTGATACAGGACACCCATAGTCCATCTCAAATAATAAGGGATGTGGAAGCCTCTAATGACGGAGGGCAACAAGTAAATTGCGTGGGATATTATGAAAAGTAACACAAATTGCTATACAGATTAATTAAACCAATGTCGTGGATTAAAAGGAAGGCATGGTCCGTCGTAAACACCCCCGTTATGTAAATAATAGGGGTTGGCAACGTTTGATTGAGTGCAACATTTACACCGTGGGTGAGTAAGTATTTACACCGCGAGGTTAAAGTGATTGTGGATACCACTGGATGAAGCAAAACGTCGTAATTAGCCAATAAGACCCCCCTAGTTGCAACTCCCTAGGACCCACCGTTTCCGTGGAAAATTCAAAGGGTACAGTGGCAGCGAGGCCATCGCCTGGTGAGTAGGCCACACGTACTGCACCAGGCTTAAACATATGTTGGTGGTATGATGCACGATGTTACATGTGCTAGACGATGCCGCTGGTCGGCGGGTTTCCTCGGGGAACTCCCGTTCGCCCGGCCCATTCATTCCCCGGCACTGCTCCATACTCATCTCAATCACCCACACCTGCTCTCAAGACCTCGCTGTTACGAGCTGCCAAAATCTCTTCACTCATTCGTCGGGGAATCCCCGCTGAATTTCCCAGGGTGCAGGAAGGGTTGCCTACTCACTATAGGCTGTTCACGGAAAAATAAGACAATTTTAAAGCCCTGCGTAAGATGTGTTTGTAAGCACGTTGTGTGTTCTTCCGCCTTATGTGAAATTATCATTGCCATGGGCCTCATCACTTTATTCATGCGTCGGTCAAGTGAAACTGTGAAACTATTAGAAAAGTATATATTGTACAAATCTGCTCATTTTTTCACCTCGATGCATTCAAAAAGAACAGAAAGCGAAATACATAATTTAAGTAATCACGAATGGTCGCCTAAAACTTTTTATTCGACGTTTAGACATGGAAATACTTTCCATCCATCGTTACCAACTTTGCTGGGTGCATGTTACTCAGCGCACCCGTTAAAATATATCCAGGCAGGCGCATTGATTTTTTCCAAGGTTGATTTCGAAAGTGCTCACTTTATCGTGAACAGCCTTTAGGAATAAGAGCCGCATAGGAAAAAAAGTTGTGCGTTACAAAGAATTCCATTATGAACGCAAATAACATATTTCCTTAAAAAGTGAGGTCATATATGCATTGGTGTAAGACAAGACTTGGAAAGCACATATTTGGGTCTCCGTCTTTACTACTGTGGAATGAAAATAAAACTACTATAGTCCGTTCACGGTAAAGGGAGCACTTTTTAAGGCCCTTGTAAATTGTTCCTTT